TTTAGATGATAGGGTGAGGGATGGGGGAGGGCAGGTCAAAGGGACCTTCTTGGGATAAAGAGGTAGGGATCCCCAGCTATTTACTCTTATCTTAAACCACCAAAAAGGAGAGAGATGTAGACTTTTCCTGATCCAGGGATTGTTTGGAAGGGGCAGTGGGAAGAGCTTCTTTGTCACTGGCATGGGTTAGTCCATGTGGAAGGTTTGGGGATGCGTGAAAATGTCAGACTTCAAGAGCAAAATGCCTACCAGCCGCCTCCCATTCTGAGCTCTGTTTTCAAGCAGCTGTTTTTGCTTCAGAAGAAAGAAAAGTCAGAATGGAGGTTCTGGACTGAAACCATAGGCAGAAAGTAGGGGGATGTGATTTGGGGTACAGCCGCAGTGGCTGAGTCTGGGGAAGCCACCAGAGGTAAGAACAGGCTCTGGGCAGCATCCTCGTGTGAAGTCAGAGGAGAGATGGGCTGTAAATCTGTCTCCCCTAGACCCCCCCCCAGTCAGAGACAAAGCCCTACGTAGAGCAGGGTTTTCTGAGAGCGTGGGGTAAGGGCTGTATTCCCAAGATGTCCCTTTACCTATTCTCAGGTTAAAGAATTGCCCACCCTTAAGGATATGGACTTTCTCAACAAGAACCAGAAAGTTTATATTGCTGAAGAGGAGAAGAAAGTCTTTCTAGAGAAGCTAAAGAGAGATGTGGAGGTGATGGGTTGGGGTGCTGTGGGAAGTGGCCTTGTTTCCCTTTTTTGCTCCCCACAGGGCAGTTGCCCATTCACAATACAAGGGAACTCCTCCCCTTCCCTTTGGGTTCTCTGCATGTAGGGGAGTTGGATAAGAATCATGAAAATCCTCTAGAGGTGACTTATGAAGGGGGTGGCTGGCTTGAGCTAAAAGAATGATCTTAGATACCCAGGACAATTAGGTAATAAAGGGCAATGGTATACTCCCAACCCTCAATTTTTACACTTCCTTTCCCCAGGAGGGCCCCGGAAATTCAGGGATGGAGGTATAAGGGTGGTACCTGGGAGTGGAGAGGGAGATCTGGGGCTTCTGATTTGTCAGTGGGGTTTCAGTTCCTAGTGCAGCTGAAGATCATGGACTACAGCCTTCTGCTGGGCATCCACGACATCATTCGCGGCTCTGAACCAGAGGAGGAGGGGCCTGTGCGGGAGGAGGAGTCAGAGGGGGATGGGGACTGTGCCCTGACCGGACCTCCTGCTCTGGTGGGCTCCTATGGCACTTCCCCTGAGGGTATCGGCGGCTACATCCATTCCCACCGGCCCCTGGGCCCTGGAGAGTTTGAATCCTTCATTGATGTCTATGCCATCCGGAGTGCTGAGGGTGAGAAAGAGCCTGGAAATTTTAAGGGTGGGGAGGGTGGTCCCTGGAGGACAGAGACCAGGGTGGTGGGTGGAGAGGCTGTTTAGCTTTTCAAAACAGATCTGACTGGTTCCTGGGGAGAGGGAATTGGGACTGTACTTGCTCTTCATTGCTGGTCTCTCTCCGCAGGGGCCCCTCAGAAGGAGGTGTATTTCATGGGCCTCATTGACATCCTGACACAGTATGATGCCAAGAAGAAAGCAGCTCACGCAGCCAAAACTGTCAAGCATGGGGTGAGGGTTCTCTAAAGCCTTTCCTTTCTTGTCTTGACTATTCAAGAGCCTCTTGTGCCAGAGCAGTGGGGTGGCAGAAGGATGAAGGGTTGGGTATGGAAATGATCTGGAGTGGAACTGAGAGTGGGCAGTCGGGGAGGGGTGCGGGGCCTGACACCATGTTCCATACCTCCTCTCACAGGCGGGGGCAGAGATTTCTACTGTCCATCCTGAGCAGTATGCTAAGCGATTCCTGGATTTTATTACCAACATCTTTGCCTAAGAGACTGCCTGACTCCATGGTGACTGCTGCTGTGTGTTCCAGGTGGTGGGGTTCTGAGAGGCTTTGGGGGAATTGTGGGTATTCTGGCCACTACTTCTGCTCTTTCTCTTTTGCTAACTTCAGGCTACAGGCTTCTTCCATCCAGATAACTCAGTCTTGTTGAGTAGGCTCTTCCTGGCCCTCAGAAATACATTGTCCTCTCTCCTCTTCCTTTCCTTCTCCCTTCCCCTCCAACAAGTCTGCTTGCTTCATTAGTGTTACTGTTGACTCTCTCCCAAGTGCCTTGATCTTTGTAAAATGTCCTGTTGTTTCCATAACATAGGAGGAGCTGGGGGAAGGGTGTTGTTTGCCATCTTCAGGACCTGACTGGACAGATGGACCTGGCTCAAGCTGCTACTGTGGATGCACTTTGCTGTGTGGGACGAACTAAGAGTGTCTGAATTTTGCTGATAACTTTATAGAGCTCACTGTGGCACACTTCCTTCCCCGTAGGCCCTGGGATGGAAGATTTTCAAAATACTACAGATGTGGGTGCAGGCATGCACACATACGATGGGATATGGCCAATCTTATGCGGCTGGGGTGGAGAATGGTGGGCGGGCTGGCAGCTCATGGAGGTGGGACCTCTGAGGACTCTTGTGATTATGCAGGGAATTGGAGGTCTCTGTTGAGGGTTGACTACTCTCCTGGCTCTTGCCTCACTCCACGTTCACCCCCACCAGAGATGGCCACAGTGTTGAATCCTGGGTGAAGGTGTTTGACTGTCGCTGCTCTTCACCAGGACCTCACATCCCTCCTGGAGCTAGAACCCTTCATTGGGGGTGTGGCCAGTTCTGGAGGCTGGGAGGATGAGCTAGGGGTATAAGGTTCACTCCCTATGTTAAATTTCCTTTCTTCATGTCTAGCCACCCCTAAGGTTTTAGACCGAGCAGAAGGGAATATCTCTACCTGGGTTAACCCTGGTTATTTCAAGAGAAAAGAAGTTTCACATGTGGGAACCTCCTCTACTCTCTGGAAGTGTGCCCATAGCATACTTACTTCCCCTCTCCTTCCCAAACCCTTTTTCCAGTTGGATTTGTTATTCTGTTCGTCTTATACTGCTACTGTGTCTCTCAGGGGACAGATGGCCGCCTTTGTCATCTTCACTCTCCACCCCCAGAGAGGAGTCAGAACCATAACCCGGCCCCCTCCAAAGATAGTTGAGTTAATACGTGATATTCTCAGAATGTAGCAGACCCTGATGAGCTGAGATAGTGTACTCCCTTCCCCGCAATGCCCTTGGGGCTCAGGCAGCCATTCTTCTTGTGATCCTACATCCCCCCTGAGGCTTCTGCACTTCTCTAAAACATAAAGATGGGCACCAACGCGTGGCCTGTGGGGTACAAAGACTCTTGCTCTGTATCTGCCTGGACTGATCTGTCTCACAAGAAGTCATGAGGTCATAAAGGAGAATTCCTCCTGCCCCTCCATCTTCTGCTCCAAAGGAAGTGACAAGAGGAGTCCCTAGTTAAAGGATTAGAGTCCCTATAATATGTTCCTGTCAGGAGGCTGATGGATCTTTTTCATTCCAACCATCTACCTTTCCCCTGTTGAATGCAATAAAACTCCATGACACCAGCAACTGTTCTTTAGAAATGGGTTTTCTGACCATGTGGCTGATGTATATCATAAGCATTATGGTCTTCTTCATTTGTTGCTTCTGTTTTTTTTTCATCTTTTTTTGTTTTATTAATTAATAAAAAAGATCTTGTGTATTTACTCCCGTTACTGTCACTATATAGAAAATAAATTATTGAATCCAAATTCCTTCACAGAAATGCCTCTTTTTTCCCTCTTGCTATTTTGGAAGCCTGGGCTTAGGGATGCAGAGACCAGATGAAGAATTCTGATTGGTCTTTAAGGTGTTGGGTCCCTAAGGATGTGGGTTTCAAGATAGATGGCTGTGAACTTAAAAAGGTGTTGAGTGTGCATGGGAATGGAAAACATTCCCCAATTTTGTGGGAGTTAGCTGTAGGGGGGCCAGGGACAGCTGAGATGATGTGACCCTCCCTCTTCCCCCAGGGTTCTGGGCTAGATCACACTCCCATCTCTGTAAAGGTGAGCACCAAGCACACATGAGCTAAAGGAGAAGGAATTCAGTGTTCCTGCAGGCTTCCTGGAAAGAAGTCCTCTGTCTGGAGGGCAGGAAGAGTACAGCAGGGTCCTGGGAAAGTAAAGAAGAAAGTGACCAACCATCCAGATGGAGAGGGAGTAAAGAAAAGGGGGTGGATTATCAGAAGTCGCTGCCAGGCTGGGAGATCCATCGGTGCTTCTGGCTGGTGGAAAAACCTGGCTTGATGTGGCCCCAGGGAAGTGAGTTGGACTGGGGGCGGAGATTGCTCTGATGTGGGAAGCAGAAGAGAGAAGAGCTTTTTTTTTTTTTTTTTTCCTTTGAGAGTTTTTAACTCTATTTCAACCATAGACTTGATACTACCATCACTCCAAGGCATTTAAAAAAAAGATGTATTCACTTCTCATTCTGCACCAGCCTCAGTATCCCTGTTTGTGTAAAGAGAAAAATCAGAGACACTTACCAATACCCATCTGGGAGCAGGTTTTGCGGGGTCACAGAAGGTAACAATCTGGGAAAAGGCAAGCGATGAGGCAGGGGATTGAAATGGTTTAGTCCTGGACTTATTTTTTAGAACCAATGCTTTTTACTATTACTCTTCTTCCTACTCCATATTCCTCAAAGGCCTTTCTAGAAAAAGGATCACAGAGAAATTGCCCTCTCTTCCCCATCTACGTAAGCGACACTCCTCACCCACCCATCCACCACTAGCTCCCAGAAGCTGCCACGAAGCTGGCTGGGAAAGAAAAGGGAGAGGGGCCCCTCCCGGGAGGGGGAAGCGAGAAGGGTGGCGTCTCTAAGAGATTTAACCTCCCACCCTCGGTTCCACGATACCACCCCAAGCCTCCGAAGATTGGGACGGCGCCTCCATTTTTGTTTTGGGGCAGAAGAGCAGGGGCTTGTGGATAGAAGGGGTCAAAGCAAACGGTGATTATTACCCGAAGGGGAAGGGGGGTGCCATCCTTCTTCCTTCCCTTTCCCTCAGTCTGCACCACCTGCAAACTACCCCCCGCCCCCCGCCACCTTCTCGGGGTCTCCCCCCCACCCTGGTTGCTAAGGCCCAGACCGTCATCCCAGCAACAGCCTCAGTCATGTGACCGGCAATGGCGGCGCTGACAAGAGGTAGGTGAGCCCGGCGCCCCCCGCACCCGCCGCGCGCCCCCCGGGCCCCGCTCACACCTCCCCGCGCGCCCTCCGGTTCCCCCTGCGCCCCCTCCTCCGCCTCCTTTCCCCGCGCGCGGCGCCGGGGCCCCCTTCCAGGCCCCGCTAATGCTCTTTCTGTCACCCTCCAGCCTTGGCCTCCGTTCGGGGGTTCTGGGGCCCGCGATCGGGCCGACATCCACCCCACCCAGCTGTGGGGCTGCGGGGGCTCTGCCGAGCGGGCCATGTGGGAGGTGGTTCCGGGTCGGGTCTTGCAGGAGGTCGTGGGGGGAGGGGTGGAGATGCCTCAGTTGATGCCCGCAGGGACCCTGGCCCTTCCTGGCTGCCCCTGTGGGCGGCCTCTGTCTGGCGAGAGGGACTGGCCCCGTGTCCGGCCTGGGTTGCCCCAGAGGAATCGGACCCAGCATAAACTGGGGCCCCGCCTCCCTTTTCTGTGCCATCAGGACTCGGAGCAAAGGACACCTAGGTCCTGGCTTCTCTCTGATGGGGAGAGGGTGTTCCACCTGGATGGACAGTATGAGCCGAGGCTCTAGGGTTCCAATTTCACTTTCTGAATCTTGAGCTGCATCTGGCCCTGAGGGGACTATGATGGAGGCACAAACGGAGAGCTGCTCCCCTATGGATCAGTCAAGGAATTGAGGTCACGCTAATGGCCCTTCTTTCTATTTGGGCTGCATTTGGAGGTATTGTAGGGATAGCTCTGTAGCTGAACACGGCAAGACTCCGGGGAAACATCAGGCTGCTCCAGCAGATCCCTCTGCCTGAGCCCCACCCCTCCCTAAATGTAGCCTAGGTAGCTGGCAGGCTTGGACTTCACGTGCTGGGTTTAAAAGGTGACGGCGACAGCGAGAACTTTCTTATTGCAGGGGCTGCTGCCACTTTGTTGGCATTCCAAGCAGACTCCAGCAGAAGGGACCGGGTTAACTCTCAAGGAAGGCTCCCTAGCAATAGGGGCTGAATTATTCGGGAATGTGGAGTAGGGCAAGGAATTGGGGAGCAAAGGAAATATTCTTGTCCTTGTGACCTGAGGGAGGTGGCAAAAAAGACCTCTATCTGTGTGGGCTTTTCCCTTCCAGACTTCTCTTATCCGTGCCCCTAGGCTTTCTTAAGAGCCTCAGAGCTGAGGAAGAGGAAAGTTAGCATGCTGAAGTTCCTTCTTTAGCAACTTGGAGAGTGGCTGGGGATGGAATTCTGCAAGAGACAAGGAGAGGAAATGAAAGAGGAGGTTTTGTTTCTGGGCAGACTGGGGAAAATGGTAACATTTGTCATCCTAACCCAGTCCCCCCCCCCACTCCCCCTGCCCCAGTCCTGGTCAGCTAAGTGTGGAAACAGAGGGATTTCTGCTGCTCTCATCGTCCATGGGCTTTCCAGGTATCTGCCTTTCATGGGAACCTCAACTTTCACCTTTAAATTGGTTGCCTCTATTCCACGTTCCAAGTAATCCCATTCCCAGTAACTTACACCCAGATCCCGTCTCTGTTAAGTGGGCTGCTGGGTTGGGGCCTGTGGAAATGGGAGAAGGGGTTTTTCATTTTCCCTCCTTTCCCTTTCCACCCACCAGGTCACACAACCTACAAGTAGGGAGCAGGAACAGAGAGAGAGAGCCTGCATGCCAATTCTAAGCTCTTCAGGATCAAAGTGAGCAAAAAGGAGGGCAAAAATCTCCCTTCCTTTTACAGAACTCAGTTCTCACCTGATGTGGGGGGAGGGGCAGGTTGTTTCTGTGATCTTGGGAGCAGTATAAGAGAACCAAGATTGATGCTCGGCTTGGATGATAATAAAGATATAGAAGCTTTCTTGCTCTTCAGTGGGTGCTGGAGTTTGAAAGATAAGAGGAAACAGAACATGAACTTGGGGGAGGAGTTGGGGGTTGACCTCTGAGTGAGTGGAGATAATATAGGGTTGGAAAGGAACGGGAAGTAGGAGGCACTGATATTTGTCAAATGGGGACCCCCCACCCTGAGTCCTTTTCACCCTGGGGGCAGTGTCGTTCGTCCTGTCCAGAATGGCAGCCTGTGGAGGCACCTGCAAGAACAAAGTGACTGTCTCCAAGCCTGTGTGGGACTTCCTCAGCAAGGAGACCCCTGCCCGGCTGGCCCGGCTTCGGGAGGAGCACCGTGTGTCCATTCTCATAGACGGCGAGACTTCTGACATCTATGTCCTCCAGCTTTCCCCTCAGGGCCCTCCCCCAGCCCCTCCCAATGGGCTCTACCTGGCCCGGAAGGCTCTCAAGGGGCTGCTCAAAGAGGCAGAGAAAGAGCTGAAGAAAGCTCAGAGGCAGGGGGAGCTTATGGGCTGCCTGGCTTTGGGGGGTGGGGGGGAGCACCCTGAGCTGCACCGCCCAGGCCCGCCCCCTCTCCGAGCAGCCCCACTCCTGCCCCCAGGGGCACGGGGGCTGCCCCCCCCTCCTCCTCCCCTGCCCCCTCCTCTTCCCCCCCGCCTTCGGGAGGAGGCAGAAGAGCAGGAGAGCACCTGCCCCATCTGTCTGGGGGAGATCCAGAATGCCAAGACATTAGAGAAGTGCCGGCACTCATTCTGCGAGGGCTGCATCACCCGGGCCCTGCAGGTGAAAAAGGCCTGCCCCATGTGTGGCCGCTTCTATGGGCAGCTGGTGGGCAACCAGCCCCAGAATGGGCGGATGCTGGTCTCTAAGGATGCCACACTCCTCCTACCCAGCTATGAGAAGTACGGCACCATCGTCATCCAGTACGTCTTCCCGCCCGGTGTCCAGGGGGTAAGAAGCCTATGGCCTGCCCTTACCCTTTGGTTTTCCCCGCGCTTGTTCTCTGACCTAGGAAAACTGGGGGAGGGGGAGTATGTTTGTTAGATGTGATACAGTCTTGCTGTCTCCCGGTATGCCTTCCCACTCAAGTGCCCTGGAGCTAGAGGCCCCCTTGAAGCCTAGCTTTTCCATCCCCATGACCCCAAGGCACCCGTGAAAATAGGTATGAGAGAAAGGAATTGAATTCTATTTCTTTGATGAGCTTGGATGTTGACATCTATTCTTGGCAGAGGTGAAGTCTGTGGACGTGGTGGCTCAGGTGCGGACAGGCACGGTGGGAAGGGTCTGACCCCCCTTAACAGTGCTGGGAGCGTTACTCCATTCCATATTTATGAGAGGGAAAACCTTGATGACGGTGGAAGGTTAAAATAGGAGCGGTCAAGAGCGTAAAGGTGTCTTCCTGCTTGACAAAGAGTAATGTCCAGTTTGGGTTTGCAGAGTGATGAGGAAGCTCTGAAGGGGAGTAATAGAAAAATAGAACAGGTTAGACAGTGGAAGACGCATTGGGAGTGTTTTCAGGTGGAGAAGGGAAGGCTGAAAGACCAATTATTCTCAGTCTTCACATTTCTGCCGAGTTATCTGGAGAGTAAGGCCTAGCTACTTTTGAGAATTCATTTGTTGCTGAATTGAGGCTTGAGGGATCGGGACAGCAGAAAGAACCTCTTAATGATGAGGATTTTGTCTGGAAACAGGCTTCTGCTGCCCAGACCCTAGAGTTGCGCCTTCCCTGGAAGGCTGTCGCTGCCCCATCAGCGTTAGCTGGGGGTGTACAGCCAGAAGGCTGGCCAGGATGACCCTTAAGATGCCCAGCTGCTCACTGCCCACTCTGCCTCCCCCGCCCCAGGCTGAACACCCAAACCCAGGAGTTCGGTATCCTGGCACCACACGGGTGGCCTACCTCCCAGACTGCCCTGAGGGCAACAAGGTGCTGAGCCTGTTCCGCAAGGCATTTGACCAGCGCCTCACCTTCACCATCGGCACGTCCATGACCACAGGGAGACCGAATGTCATCACCTGGAACGACATCCACCACAAGACCAGCTGCACAGGGGGACCGCAGCTGTGCGAGACGCCTTCTTCCCTTCCCTTGACTCCACCCCTTCTCCCCACTTCTCTCGGGGAGCCTCCTAACTGGAGAGGACCACCCCCAAACTATTCAACCATATTGCCTGTCCCAGTTTCTCCTGTAGTCATCCTGGTCCTAATGTGCCCAGCTTAACCTACAAAACTAAGCAGAATTGGGCTCAGTTATCTTGGGTTTGGATAATCTCAGGGAAGGTGGGGAGGGGCTAGAATGGGGCACCAGAATGAGGGTGAGCCTGGGGGTAATATGAGTAAGCCTGAACGGCTAACCCTGACCCTCATTTCTCTTTGCTCCCAGGTTTGGGTACCCGGACCCCACCTACCTGACCCGGGTGCAAGAGGAGCTGAGAGCCAAGGGCATCACCGATGACTGAAGGACATCCCCTTTGGGAGGCCCCTGCTGTTCTCCTTCAGTAGGACCCAGTGGGAGCCTCTGTTGTCTCTCCCTCTGTCCCCCTCATCACTCAAGTGGGGGACTGTCTGACTGGGGAAGGGGTTCAGAGGAGGACGGGTGATCCCTCCCCAGTCCCCCACAGGCTGAGTGCTTCAGTGCAGTGTGAGCCACTCCCTTCTGGCAGAGTCTGACGTCCCAGGCTCTGCTCCCCTCCTCCCCCTGTACATACTCCCAGTCTTCCTGCCCCCTCCATTGCCCTTGGCTTTTTCTGGTTTGTGATGTGCTCCAGTGACTAAGCTGAGAAAGGACCTGGGTGGGGAGGAGAGGGTCTCTTGATCCCCCCACCCCATACTGCTCCACTGCTGAATTTCTGCTCGGGGAGGGGGGTCAGGCTGCTGTGAGTCCCCGTAGAGCCGGCCGCATATGTTCTTCAGAAACAATACCCCTTCTCCCTTAACCTTGTCCTTTCTCTCCTGTGTCTCTGTCTTTGTCAGTCTTTCTCCCACTCTTCTCTGCCCCCTAGAAGGAGCCTCCTTACCCTGTTCTGGAATCGCCGCCAGACTGTAGCTTTTAATTTAATAAAAATAAAGTAAAATATGCAACTCTCTATGCCACACCCGTTCTGTTCTGTGGGCCGGGGTGGGGGATGGGGGATGGGGGCTGGGGTGAGGAGCTGGACCTGATGAGAGGGAGAAGGGGGTGGTGATCGGGAACTCCCTGGGCGCCTCCCCAGGCTCTCTGCCTCCAGAGGGCCTGGGAAAACGGCAGGTACTTAGTGGGCTCCAAGATAAAACTGCGAAGCCTTGGATCGTGATTCGACAGCGGAGTCAGGATGAAGTGGGGTTTGTTGCTGAACTACAGTTGCAGAGAAAGGAACAACCCTACCCCTTTTGAAAAGTTTGGCTGGGGTGGGAGTGGGGGCGGAGCCTGGCAGGGGGCGGATTCCGCGGCGGCAACTCCCCGGACGCACGCTGGCCTCAGAGCCCACCAGCTTCCGTGCCCCCTCGGCTCTGAAACTTGGAGGAGGGTAGGGGTCCAGCATGAAGCCCCCGGACCGCCCCGCCCCTGGCCGCACTGACCGGATACTGGGGGTCATGGGGGGCATGCTGCGCGCATGCGCCCTACCCGGGCAGGAGGGGGTAAGAAAGGGGGACCACGGTGGGGTCGGGGGTCTTTAGGGGGCTTCAGGATGGCTGCACCCCACAAACTCAATTTACCCGCAAACAAGAATTCTTCGGGGTAGTCGCAGGAATCCAAAAGTTCCATTAAGAGGACCATAGGCACGTTCTTGGGTAAACTGCTCCCTCCACCCCAGCCTTGGCGAAGACCCTTTTATAACAAAGTGGATTTTGACAGGAGGGAGAAGGGGAAGCGGGAGGTCTAGGCTGGGCGTGGAGGGCGGGTTTCTTACGATCACTCTGTCCCCGCAGCCCCCGAAGAGAAGCCCCCTAGGACTGGGGGGGACCGAGCCAGAATCTAACTGTATGGAGGGGAATCAGAGAGGGGAGCGCGAACGCGAGGTCCCCGCCTGGGCTCCGCTGCCCGGTAAGAAGCTAGGGGTGGGGTGGGGCACAGTTTGCCATCCTGCGCAAAGTGGCGAATTAAAAAATATGCTGCTCGTTTTAGTATAAAGGTTCGCATCTAATTTGCATGAGACCCATATAGACGCTGAGACCTCCACGCTTCTTCTCGCCCTCTAGCCTGCTGTGTGTCCCCCACCTCAGCGGGTCCCGAGCCCCCGCTGGCGTAGTGTCCCCGCGCCCCACCCCTGGCCCCTCGCCAGCCGAGTCTCCAGGACTTCTCCTTAATTGGTGATTAGCCTCAGCTGGAGTCCCGGGGCCTGGAGGAAAGAAGGGTCCGGCGAGAGGGCGGCACCCGGGCTGCGTTCCCCACAAAGAGCTCCCCATTCACGCATCCCCTACTGGGGGACCTTGTCCACCCCTGCGCGGCTAGAGACAGTCCCAACCCCAGGACCTCTTCGCACAGGCTAAGGCCCCATCCGCCGCGCCCTTCTCCGCCGCAGAGGCCGAGGGGCGACCCTAGCCGACCCCGCCGCCGGGCTTAACCCCCACGCCAGTGCTCCGCAGTCGGAGCCGGAGATGCGGGAGAGAGGGGGAACCCGGGGCTGGGGAGCCCAGGCTAGAGTGGAGGGGCGGAGGCGCTGGGGACTTGGAGTGGGTACGAGGTGGTGCCTGGGGGAGGGGGAATTGGGGCGGGAACCCAGCACTGGCTGAAGGGGGAAAGCGAGGGAGAAGGCGGAGCTGGGCCGCAGAGGCCCCTCCCCGCGGCGACCCGGCGGCGGGGCCTGTTATTCTGCTCGCCGCTCGGCGGGGACCCGCGCAGCGCCAGTGACTCGGGGAGTCGGCCCCCGCCTCCTCCCCTGACCAGGCCTAGAACTACCCCCAATCCGGGAGGCCGGAGACGGAGCTGGAGTGGCTGCCGCATCCCGGCCCAGCCTCCTCCACCATCCCTCCCCTTCCCGCTGGACATCTGGACCCTGGGCCCCGCACCGACTGGGTTCCGGAAACCCTCCCCGCCCAGCTCGGCGGCCCGGCCGCGCGCCGCCCTCTCTGCAGAGTCCCCAGCCCTTTTCCAGACCAGACTTCCGCCTACCCCTGGACCCCCCCCTTCCTATTCCCTCCCTCCCCCCGCCTCCCCCAGCCTGGAGCGGGGTAGGAGGGAGGGGGGGTGTACACCCTGCGCCGTCCCCGGCCCCCGTGGTTCCCCCTGCATGGCCCGCCCGGGTCAGGGGTGTGGGGGGGCCCGGGCGCCATGCGGGGGGGGCAAAAGGGGGGTCGCTGTGCCTGTCCCCGCGTGATCCGAAAAGTGCTGGCAAAATGCGTCTGCTGCTTCGCCCGGGGGGGACATGGTGAGTGTAAGGTCGCGAGGGCCCAGTGTTGAGTGGGGGGCGGGCTGAGGGTTCAGGACTTGTGTCTGTCCCGGCCCTAGGGATTTAGAGGCTGGAGACTATACCTGTGTTTTCCAGGAAAGTGACCTAATAGATGATCTCTAAGATCCCCTCTTGCCTTCAAATTTCTAACAGTTAAAAGTTAAGGAAATTGGGGAAGGGGCAGGGGACTCCTCTCAACTGAGTATGAGAAAAACCCATCCACAATCCCCTTATGCCTAGACCACATCTTCCCTGAAATCCTTTTGCTGAGAATCTACTTCAGATCTGAAGAAGGACAGGGGGATGGAGGAATGAGGGATGAGGGGGGTCTACCAGGGACTTTTTCCCAAATCACAGCTCCTCTGTCCCTGAGCCCAGGCCAAGGATAACACCGATGAGCTCTCCTCACTTGCCCCCTCTATTGGGTTTGTGCATGTGCTGGGAAGGTGGGCTGCAGAAGTCTTTTCTTTTTATAGTGACTAGTGCACTTGGTGGAGGAGGGGTCTGGGGGTGGCAGATGGGCTCTTAAGCTCTTTTTCTCCCCCCCCCCCCCCGCCGACCGCCCTTCTCAGAGAATGGTCTGTACCCATTGCAAGGGGGAAGGTTGTAGGAGAGCAGATGGCCACCCCCAGCTTCCAGTGTCTTCCCAGATGGCTGCCCTCACCCCCATATTGGTGCCATGCTCAGATATGGGGGAACCCCCACATGTAACTGGGGGTTCCAGGCCTAGGGAGCCAGGTGTTTTCTGTCCTTCTTCCCAAGGGTGTCCTGGTGAAATTTTCTCTCCTGGCCAACTCCAATGAGGATGGCAAGAAAGTGAGCCCTGAGGGAGAGGGGCTGAGCATCACAGAGCAGAGACTCTGGGAGCTCCCTAGGGACGCTGAATCTGGAACTGAAGCAAAATTTATCACCCCCTTTCTCCCCCTACCCCACCCCCTTAGAATCCTATCCCATTGCTGGCAGTGAGGGGAGTATCTCGGCTTCAGCTGCCTCGGGTCTGGCTGCTCCCTCTGGCCCCAGCTCTGGCCCCAGCTCTGGCCCCTGTTCCCCGGGACCCCCAGGGCCAGTCAGTGGCCTGAGAAGATGGTTGGATCATTCTAAACATTGTCTCAGTGTGGAAACTGAGGCAGAAGGTGGCCAGGCTGGACCATATGAGGTGAGGAGGGAGCACCAGAGAAGCATGTAGGACATCCATGAAGGGTGCTGGGAGAGGGCAGGTTGAGGGGGCCACTGGTCACTGGGGAGACACAGCTACTGTCCCTGACCTTTGACACTTGACCTCTGGCCCCCAGAACTGGATGCTGGAACCAGCTTTAGCCACAGGAGAGGAGCTGCCAGAACTGACCCTGCTGACCACATTGTTGGGGGGCCCTGGGGATAAGACACAGGTATGAAGAAATGAGTCTGGCGTGGCTCCCCTCACCCAAGAGGCATCCATTTGCTTACTCTGGGATGTTCTTCCTTACAGCCACCTGAAGAGGAGACTTTGTCCCAAGCCCCTGAGAGTGAAGAGGACCAGAAGAAGGCTCTGGAAAGGAGTATGTAAGTGTCTACACACTCTCTATCCCTGACCCCTGCAGTCGCGCAACTTCCAGAGGATTGTCTCTCACATTTTAGATTTGAGACTTGGAATTTCCCCTGAGGTTGGCTGTGGTAATGAAGGGGCTTCTAGTCCAGGAGGGAGGAAGTGGCTAAACCTGTTCTCTTCCCAGGTACGTCCTGAGTGAACTGGTAGAGACAGAGAAAATGTACGTGGACGACTTGGGGCAGATTGTAGAGGTAGCTCCCTTTTCCCTTCCCAGCCCTGGCCCAGCCCTTTCCCTCTCCCCAGGGCTAATGTTAGGAGATGCCTTGTTGCTCCTCTGTCCCACCTTCCCAGTCTCCCCTACATCCTGGACTTCTTGGGGAGGGGAGGTTCCCACCAGGACTGGCTCCACACACTCATGTTCCCACCCAACCTTCCCACAGGGTTACATGGCCACCATGGCTGCTCAGGGGGTACCCGAGAATCTTCGAGGTCGTGACAGGATTGTGTTTGGGAACATCCAGCAAATCTACGAGTGGCATCGAGAGTGAGTGATGGATCCCTGAGAGCGAGGGGAAGGGGCGTATGTCTGGTGGTCTCTGTATCCTACCCACGGGCCCATTGTTGCCTGAGGAATGTTTGGAGAGACTTCGTGGGGAACACTACCAGGGCAGAGAGCTCTGAGTTGCTTGGAGTAGGGGTATTTGACCAACCTTTTCCCTCCCTACCCCTCCAGCTATTTCCTGCAGGAGTTACAGAGGTGTTTGAAGGATCCTGATTGGCTGGCTCAGCTATTCATCAAACATGTGAGGCTTGAGAGAGTGGGGCCCAGGAGGGGAGGGGCTTGGGAGTGGGTCAGGACTTTCTGGAGATGTGCCCTCTCTCCTCACTCACTCTACTCTTTCTTGAATTTTACTCCTGTTAGGAGCGCCGCCTGCATATGTACGTGGTGTACTGTCAGAATAAGCCCAAGTCAGAGCATGTGGTATCAGAATTTGGGGACAGCTATTTTGAGGTCAGTGGCTGAGATACCTTGGGGAAAGGGGGACAGAATCGTCAGCATGAGCAGGCTTTCCAGGCTGCAAAACCACCCCATCTGTCCCTGTCCCCAGGAGCTCCGGCAGCAGCTGGGGCACCGCCTGCAGCTCAACGACCTCCTCATCAAACCAGTGCAGAGGATCATGAAATACCAGCTGCTGCTCAAGGTCGGGGCCACCTGTTCCCTGGGGGCACGGCTGGTTGGGATGGCCCTTTCCTCATTCGTCTCCCCAGGGTTCCTAAGGCTCCCCACCCAGACTTCCGGGGGGCCCTCACCTGTGTCCTCAGGGGAGGATGTGAGGGCTTTTGAGGATGTTCTCATAACCTCCCTGAGCATTTCTTTCTTCTCTGTGTCTTAGGATTTTCTCAAGTATTATAGTAGAGCTGGGATGGATACTGAAGAGCTGGAGGTGAGTACTCCCAGATCTCACAGGACACACCACGCACACCTCATCTTCTTAGTCTCCTGGGTTCCTCCAGCTCCATGGGTGGTGAAGGGGAAGGCTGGTTGGCGATAGAGACATGGTCTGAAGACGCCTCTTTCCCAAAGATGACAGTGCTTTTCTTTTCACTTGTGTCCCAGCAAGCTGTGGAGGTCATGTGCTTCGTACCCAAGCGCTGTAATGACATGATGACCCTGGGGAGACTGCGGGGGTTTGAGGTACAGGGATGGAGCAATGCTCTTCTGCCCCAGGCTGAGCACTCAGGAGATCCTTACAGGGAACTGTGCTCTCCTGGGCCTGACAGGAGATGGTTGGTTGGGAGTGTCAGGGGAAGGAGGGAGGAGCAGAGAGTTGCCCCTTTTCTCTTATTGTTTTTCTCAAAGGCCACTCTCCTTTGGTTTCAGGGCAACTTGACTGCTCAGGGGAAGCTCTTGGGCCAGGACACATTCTGGGTCACAGAGCCCGAGGCTGGGGGGCTGCTCTCGTCTCGGGCTCGAGAGAGACGTGTCTTCCTCTTTGAGCAAATCATCATCTTCAGCGAGGCCCTGGGAGGAGGAGTGAGGGGTGGAACGCAGCCTGGATATGTGCACAAAAGCAGCATCAAGGTGGGGAGGGTGTCCCAAGGGAGAGGTCTGACTGGGATAGGGGAGGCCTCTGAGAGGATGGTGGCCCCTCAGATCCTCTTTGGATTTGTTGGAGGGGACAGGGACCAGAGAGGGCCTGAAGAATTTGGGGGCTACCTCTTATTTGCCAATCCAGGTGAGCTGCCTGGGACTGGAGGGGAACCTCCAAGGCGACCCTTGCCGCTTTGCACTGACCTCCAGAGGGCCAGAGGGTGGGATCCAGCGCTATGTCCTGCAGACTGCAGACCCTGCGGTCAGTCAGGCCTGGATCAAGCAAGTGGCTCAGATCCTGGAAAGCCAGCGGGACTTTCTCAATGGTGAAGCTCTCACCCTCCCTCCCCGACATCCTCCCTTGGTCCTGGGATGTCCTGAATCCCTCACCACCCAATCTCCAGTCCCTGCCCTCACCCCAGCTTCTCCCCATCCCTCATCCTCACTTTTCCACTACTAGCTCAAGATTTAGTAACTCAGAATCCCCTAAAGCCTCAAGCGACTTACATTGGCCGACAGTCCTTGAGAGCAGAGCCCCTGGGAAAGGGCGTGTCTCTGCTGTAACCCTCCTTCTGTCCCTTTGTTTGCCCCAGCACTGCAGTCACCCATTGAGTACCAGAGACGGGAGAGCCAGACAAACAGCCTGGGACGGCCAGGAGGTCCTGGGGTGGGGAGCCCCGGGAGAATTCGGCCTGGAGATCGGGCCCAGGTCAGCACACACACACCCATCAATGGCTCTCTTCCCTCCCTGCTGCTGTTTCCCAAAGGGCAGGTGGCCAGAGTCCCCCTGTCCCTGGACACACAGGTATGAGGAATGGAATTCCCTGGTTGTAAGGGCAGAATGGGGAGGTCCTCTCTTGTTCCAGGATCCCCAAACCTCCTTCCCCCGTATCATTCCTTTCTTCCACCACCTTCCTTTTGTCTGCCCCTTCCTACTTCCCATCTCTTGCCCTCCCCCACTCCAGTTTAACCCTGAGAGAAGCTGATGGTCTCAGATAATCTAAGATGTCTGGCAAGAGGGGGTGGCTTGACTAGGGCTTACACTGACAAGAGAGGAGTGAGGGTGGATTCCTGAACTTTTTTGATCCTCAGACTTGAGTCTCTCTTCAGGCCTCCAGTGACATCCCCCAGGCTCCTCATGACTCTCCTCCAGTTCCACCAATTCCAAACGCCCCTCCCTGCCAAGCCAGACTTGCCAAGCTGGATGAAGATGAGCTGTAACTGGTGAAGGCCATGGGGGTGGTGCTGACTCAGCCACTCTCTTCCCCCAGGAACTTCAGGGCAATCCTTCTGGCAGTGCCCCAGAATTCCTCCCTCTTGGTGTATCTGGAGGGTGGGCAAGGCTGGGAGTGTCAACTTGGAGGAGGGAGCCTAGACTCAGAAAGACTTCTTTCTGCCCAAGGAACATAGGTTCCTTCAGCCCCCACCCCTATGCATGCATCACAGGTCCCCCCCAAAAGGAGGAAATGTGGGTGGGTAGGAGGGCTGGGGCAAGGGCCAGACAGAAACTATTGGTTTTGTTTTTGATTTTGTTTTTTCTGTTTTTTGAGAATAAAGGTTTTGTTATATCACTAAAGCTGCTGTCTTGGCAGAGGGAAGGGGAAGCTGAAGTAGGGGTAAGTGGGGTAAAGGGGTATGGAAGAGATCAGCTGGCCCCTCAAATCAGTCACTTGAGGAGGGGCCTGGTGAAAGGAGAAGGGTGCGGGATGTAAGATAAAAGACGTCATTATCTTTGTCCCTCACCTGCGGCTGCAGCAACTCTCAGTCTAGACCTGGAGCTTAGGGCTACTGGAAAACCCTAGAACCTTGACGTATCCTCCCCTTTGCCCAGTCCCTCTTTCCCTCCCCTCTGGTCTCTGTTCTAGACCCCACTGGAAAGCCCGCTGTGGGGTGACTTCCCACCATTCCCCCCAACACCCAGATTCTAAAGCTCCGAATGCCCAATGTACCTTTCTTTCTGGGGCCACCATGTTCAGCTCAGGGAACATGGGGAGGTGAGAGGATGCTGGGGTGCTGTGTCCCCTTCTGGCTCTGGGTGTCCTTATTTTTGCTGTCTGGGAGGTTGTAAGGCATATCCATACTGAGCAGGAAGGGATTCTTCTTCAAGCCACAGACCCAAGAGCGGAGAGCCCAAAGGGGTCTTCACCTCTCCCAACTTCTGGGACAGCCCCTGGGACAGAGAGCCAAACGTGCAGAGATCCGTGTCCAGATGCCCTGTCCTGGGTCCTTGGGCATCGGTGTGTCCACTGTGTCCATCCGTCCCCTGGGCCCAGTCACGTGTACTTGAGCTTCCTCAGCAGACAATAGACTGCTGGGGTGGGAGGGTGAGGAAGAGCTGGAGTCTCCCTGTGGGCCTGAGGTCTCTCTGGCCACAATGGGGGGAGGGACCTCTAAGGTGGGGGGGACAGGACGTACAGCCCAGATAAGACTTCTGGGGAACAATAGGAGGAATTGAAGAGGGGAGACCCACCCTCACTGTACCCCACCCCCAGGGCTTTGGGGTCAGGGACTGGGGAGGGCTGCTAAGGATTCGTGTGAGGAGGAGGGGATGGGGCAAATAACAGAATTCTGGAGCTCGGAACCTTTGTATCTCTTTAGGGACCACAGGGGTACATGAGGTGGGTGGGTGACCCTTTTGTACTTAATTTAACCACATACGTGTTGTTGAGTGCCTACTCTGTGAATAGCACTGGAATGTAATAAACAGTGCTTCAGTGTTTTTGGCTTCTGAGAAATAAAATCAAAGTTCCCTGTCTGTTCAGTGTTCCCCCTGAGGCCCTGAACTGGAAATTTAGGCCCAGCCACTCCCAGCAGAGGTGTGTGTGTGGCAGGGCGGTTCTCTGTCCATCCATATCCAATAGCAGCTGAGGCCAGTGGAGCCCCTTACACTTTCTGGGGACAAGCTGCGCCCCATGAGGATTTGGGTGGGGGCGGGGCGGGGAAGGGAAGTTGGAACGCCGCTGAACTTTCTTGTGGGCAATGCAGCGGCCCTGGGAATGACCAGTAACCCTAGAGGAGTCAGCGTCTGTCTTCGCCCAAGGTGCAGATGCGGAAAGGAACCGGGAGCGAGAAGGCGGGAGTCAAAAGACCTAGGAGCGGTAAATAGTGGGTGTTGGGTGATGGGGCGCGTTTATCTTTCGCCCTACCTCTCTGGCTCCTACCCCTTTCCACGGCCATCCCTCCCCCCATAGCAGGCTGCAGAGCGAGCGATCTGGCCAAGCATGTCTGAGGAAACGCCTAACGTAGAGACACCCCCTCCCCAAGGCGCAGCCGGCTCCTGACTGTAGAAGGTCCCCAAGAGAGGGCGCCCTCCGGGACGGGATTGGACCCTGCTTCGCGGAGGCGGGACTCGGGGCCCGCGGGCGGAGGGGTATTTAAGACTGGGCGGAGTTGGAGGTGGCAGAGGGCAAAATGAGTGGGCTACCCGGTGCCAGCACCTGCCCAGGTCCGGGAGAGGCCTCCGACCTTAAGTCCCCCCTGGGCGCCAAGTTCAGGGAACCTCTTACCGAGGCCCGGTTTCAGCAGCTCTTCGGGGACGCAGAGCAGGAGCCTGAGCTACTCGCGGAGCCCCGCTGGTCGCGGCTGCGCCGGCTTTGGAAGCGGCGGGCCCGCGCCTGTTCCGGACCGGGGCCGTGGCCCCTGCTGCGGGCGCGGCTGCCCCCGCTGCGTTGGCTGCCCCACTACCGCTGGCGGGCCTGGCTGCTCGGGGATGCGGTGGCCGGAGTGACCGTGGGCATCGTGCACGTGCCCCAGGGTGAGCGGCGCCAGCAGCAGCCTGTCAGGGGCCCAAGCTCTAGAGGGCTTCGGGTTGGCACGGGGCCTGGGAACCGCGAGCGAAGTGGTGGGTTAGTGTGGCTTGAGGGCTCGGCGACAGGGACCTGAGGCCAAGTTCTGGGTAAGGACAGTGGAGCTCCATCAGATCCCCACCCCCAGCTCCCCTCATCTGTGCAATTCTGCGCGAAGTCTTGGACACGGTCCGGCCCAGGGAACTGGAGAGAGGCAGGACGCCAGCCCCCCAGGACGTGGCCGACACAGATCTCTGACCTTGTCCGCCCCACGACCTCCCATCGAGGCCCGTTAACCCCTCAGTTCCCTCATGTGGCGGGATTTAGAGTCCCCGGGCCAGCCTCTAAGAGTGCGGGAAGGGAAGGACAGTCCTGGAGGCTGGGCACCCTGCCCCCTAACCTACACACCGGAGACCTTTCCTTCCACTACTCCCCCAGGCATGGCTTTTGCCCTCCTGACCTCTGTGCCCCCAGTGTTCGGACTCTACACTTCTTTCTTTCCCGTCCTCATCTACACCTTGTTGGGTACTGGGAGACACCTGTCCACCGGTGAGTGACCCAGTGACTCCTCTCCTTCTCTGTGGGGTGGAAAGGACAGGGGTTTGAGCCTTCCGTTCTTGTAAGCTCCCTCGCCCTTATTCCCGTCTTCACGCCCCCCACCTTCCCTTCCGCCTCGGCCGCTACCCTGCCGTGAACCTCTGACCTAGACAGTGCTCGCTGCGGGTGCTGAGTGGGTGCAAAGAGGCGGGAGTTTACTCGGACTTTTCCTCTCCATGAAATTTGGTTAAAATGAACGTCTCTACGACTTGGAAGAGGGGAGAGGAGATACTCTGTCGCCCAAAGGAGCAGGCAGTCCCCAGGGCGTTTGCAGGAGGGGCAGTGACGCAGTTGGGAGCCGTTTTTTCCCGGCGGGTGCTCCCTCCTTTCCTCCCTCACCGCTGGTTCCGGGCTGCTGCACCAGCTCTTGGCCCCAGAATCTTCACCTGAGCAGCAAGCCTTCTAGGAGAGGGCGTCTGACGGCAGCATCCTGGGCGGAGAGCGCGAAGCCTGGGCTCTCGCCGTGCCCCAGGTGGCACAGCTGGTGATCTCTGCGTTTGTCCCCCGGCCCTAGGAACTTTCGCGGTACTCAGCCTTATGACGGGCTCGGCCGTGGAGCGGCTGGTGCCTGAACCCCTCGAGGGGAACCTGAGCGGCATTGAGAGGGAACAGCTGGATGCTCAGCGGGTTGGTGCGGCTGCGGCCATGGCCTTCGGGAGCGGGGCACTGATGGTGAGGGAGGACCTTGGGGGAGGACCCTGAGGGAATCCACGCTGGGGGCCCGGAGAATTGGGCCAGGGGAGAGGGAGGGACAAGTCTCCAGCACCGGTCTAGGCGGGAGAGGTGCGCGGACAAGCTGGTGCACTGCGCCGGGGCTTGTCTGCTCCTTCTCCAGTGGTGATGGCGCATCTTCTCCCCTGCAGCTGGGAATGTTCGCGCTGCAGCTCGGCGTCCTGGCCACCTTTTTGTCGGAGCCTGTAGTCAAGGCGCTAACCAGTGGGGCCGCCCTGCACGTGCTCGTGTCCCAACTGCCTAGCCTTTTGGGGTTGCCCCTCCCGCGTCAGATCGGCTGCTTCGCTCTCTTCAAGGTGAGGGTGGGAGAAGAGCGAAGAGGCTTCTAGCGGTCCCGGGAAGAGGGAAACCCGTAAAGAAAGGAAGTGGGGGCGAGTGGAGGGATAGTGTGTGGCACGGGCGGAGAAAAGGTCAGAACCACGTGGCTGAATGAGGGTCGCTGAGGAGGTGGAAGCCCTGATGGGAGCCAGGAGAGGCCTCGCCTCAGTCTGGCGGGTCCGCGCTGGGGGCAGTCGACCCTGGCCCCAGGCCCTCTGCTCACTGCCCCTGCCCGTAGACGCTGGCCGCCGTGCTGACGGCGCTGCCGCGGAGCAGTCCCGCCGAACTGACCGTCTCGGCACTCAGCCTGGCGCTGCTCGTGCCCGTCAAGGAATTGAACGTGAGGTTCCGAGACAGGCTACCCACCCCGATCCCAGGGGAAATCGTCATGGTGAGGATGGGGTCCCAGCCCCGTGCACCGCACAGACCCTGCCCGTCCTGTAGGAACTGGCCGCTGCCGCCCCTTCATGGAGTGCAGAGAGGTCACAGATGAGAGGTCCTGCTTACACGTGTACTTTTCCAGGCCTCTTCCCAGAACACTTTGACCCTCGGGAATCCCCCACCCAAACGTCCCCCCTTCTCTCAAAAAGCCGGCTGTAGGCCTCTTAGAAAGCCTTCTTCCTCCTTACAGCGCCCCCTTGCGGTGTCGCTCGCCACGGCACCGGCACCTTCGCTCCCGTCTCTCCCCTCACCGGTCCCGCACTGTAATTCACGTTTTATCCTCCTCCCCGCGTCCACCTACATTTCTCTCTCCCGCCCCAACTAAACAGGCTCTCCTCGTCTCCACAGATACCCCATATATCCCTTGATATAACCCAGCTTCCCTGCTTAGAATGGCTCGATTGTACCTCTTGATATCCACCATCCCTCATAGCAGCCCCCTCTTACTTCTTCCTGTCCATCTCTCTCCATAGCTCCAGGCATACATCATTCTTCTTTCCCATCCCCAATCTCCTTCACTCTAAACCACTTGTTAGGCATCCATCCCCAAAACATCCCAGCTACCCCAGTTGCTGGGCTCCTGCAACCACCTAATCCTGCGTTGCAATCCTCTCTCATATTGAGCTCCTTCCGGCGTCTGCCAGGGGCCTGTCTCCTCCCATGCTCTAATTTGCTCTCTTTCCCAGGTGCTTCTGGCCTCCGTGCTCTGCTTCACCTCTTCCCTGGACACAAGATACAACATCCAGATAGTTGGATTGCTGCCCGGAGGGTAAGAGAGAATGAAAAGGCACCCGTTTTCTTTTCTCACAACTCTCCCACCCAGCGCCTTCCCCTGTCCTGCCCTATGCCATTTCCTCTCTCTTGCTCATATCCTTGTTATACCCAACCCATCCTCACCTCGGATTCCTCTCTCTCTAGATTTCCCCAGCCTCTCCTCCCCAACCTGGCTGAGCTGCCCAGGATTCTGGCCGACTCGTTGCCCATGGCACTGGTTACCTTTGCAGTGTCTGCCTCCCTGGCCTCCATCTATGCAGACAAGTACAGCTACACTATTGATTCCAACCAGGTGTGACTTTGAGTGAGGACCCCAACCTCATTCAGGGGACAGCCCCCTAATGTGATTCCCCCCTCCCAGCCATGCCTTTGTCTCCTCTTCATCTCCCTGCATCCCTCCAGGAGCTCTTTGCACATGGTGTCTCCAACCTCATCTCCTCCCTCTTCTCTTGCTTTCCCAACTCGGCCACATTGGCCACAACCAGCCTACTAGTGGATGCTGGTGGGAACACACAGGTAAGAGCACGTCCTTGGGTGAGGAGAAGGGGGGAGGGGCACCCAGGTTGGGTGGTGGTGGAACAAGTGGAAGATTGGCAGATCCCCAGTTGGCAGCTCTATAGAGAAGGATGGAATTCTGTGAGGGAAGGTGAGTGAGGAGATGGGATTACCTGGGTAGGAGGTATAGAAGAGAAGAAAGGTACATTAAGACCTTTGTAGACTCTAAGCACTGAAAAAGTTTATGGTGCCCTATATGTAGTTCAAAATAAGAACACTACTAATCTGGAAAATAAATTTAAGAAACAAAATTCTGGTGTTTTTCCTTGTGAGGACATTTTCTTTTAAAAAGAAATATCACATATCAAAGTCTCTCCCTAATATTTTTGGTTTCCTGTACTTTGTTGGTGCCCTAAGCATGTGTTTAACCTGCTTTTAGGGTCATCCAACAGTGGCTTTTAAGATGAAGGTAGGCTGGTGGGGGAGGGATAAGTTGGGAGATTGGGATTGACATATACACACTGCTATATATAAAAATAGATAGCTAATAAGGACCTACTGTATAGCACAGGGCACTCTACTCAATACTCTGTAATGACTATGGGAAAAGAATCCAAAAGAGAATGGAGATATATATATATATATATATATATATATGTCTGACTGATTCACTTTGCTGTACAGCAGAAACTAACACAACATTGTAAATCAACTATGCTCCAATAAAATTTTAAAAAAAGATGGAGGTCAGCTACAAAAATAGGGATGTTGAACTGCATCTTGGGGCAGACCAGCAAATGACAGGCATTTAATTGGGGGAGGGGAAAGGTAGGTGTGAGCGGCAGAATATCAAGCAGGGGCTCGAGGAGTGTGGAAGGGGATTTGGGAGGAGGGAGACTTCCAAGGAGGATGAGGCAGAGTAGGCAGGGAGACCAACTCTCACGCGGGGGTGGGTGAGGTTCCCTCCCTTCTTTGCTTCCGTCCCTCCTTCCCTCTAGCTGGCAGGCCTCTTCTCCTGTATGGTTGTCCTGTCTGTCCTGCTGTGGTTGGGGCCCTTCTTCTACTATCTGCCCAAGGTAAGCAGCAGAGGAGGTGGAGGGGTGGCTGGGATGGGTGGCGACATCCCTCCACACTGGGGTGGTCAGCTTACCTCCTCTGCCCCAAGGCTGTCTTGGCCTGCATCAACATCTCCAGCATGCGCCAGATGTTCTTCCAGATGCGAGAACTTCCACAACTATGGCGCATCAGCCGCGTGGACTTTGTGAGAAATGGCAGCATTACCCTCGGATGCCCCCTCCCATTTACCAGCGTCCCCAGCCTCTGCCCTTGATCGAAGCTAATTGTCCCAGTCCTAAGTTCTGCAACCCACCCACCCCCAACATGTATACCTCCTAATCCCTTTACTCAGAGACAAGGTGAAGGGTGGAGCTTGAACCTCTTCAGACCTGAATATTTGTAACTCCCCAGATGGTTCAAGGTCTGGGGTCATTACACTTGGTGTGTATCCCCTATTAGGTCCATCCCGTTCCTTCCTTCTGTCATTGTTTCTACTTTCTCCCGGGCCATCCCTCCCCATCACTTGCCCCGGCAGTCACTGCCCCTGGACCCCTTTCCCTGGTAGGGATGGCCTGGCATTTCTTTTGGTCATTTCGCTCCCATCCATGTCCTGCAGGCTGTGTGGATGGTCACATGGGTGGCTGTCGTGACCCTGAGTGTGGACCTGGGCCTGGCTGTAGGTGTGGTCTTCTCCATGATGACTGTGGTCTGCCGCACCCAGAGGTGGGAGTAGAGATGAGGGGAGTCAAGATGAGAGGAGGGAAGAGAAAAGAGTGCTTGGGGTGACTCTCCAGCCAGGTCAGGCTGGGAATCTGACCCCAGCTTCCCGCCCAGGGTACAGTGCCTGGCACTTGGACTGGCTGAGGGGACAGAGCTCTACAGGCCACTCAGAGAGAGTCACAAGGTGGGTGGGCTACAGCCGAAGAAGGAAGGGAAGATTAGACTCGGATGTTTCACTGACCCTCTGACCCCTTAGCTCCTCCAGGTCCCAGGGCTCTGCATCCTGAGCTATCCAACACCGCTCTACTTCGGGACCCGTGGGCAGTTTCGCCGCATCCTGGAGTGGCACCTGGGGCTTGGAGAAGGAGGCAAGGTGAGGGACTTGGTCAAAGGGGCGTGTGGCTTCTTTGGGGGTGCGAGACAGGTGGGTGTTCTGGGGGGGGTCATTGTGCTCAAGGGGTGCATGTTTGTGTCTCAGAGATGGTGACTACCCTTTTCTACTCACAGGAGGCTCCAAAGACAGATGGCCCACCTGATGCAGGTGAGATGGGATGACAATGAGGGAGATTTGGGCACGACCCATGGAGGCATCTGGGTACTCCTGCCTTCTGCCATCCTAGTTGCTGAGCCTGTCAGAGTGGTAGTCCTAGACTGCAGTGGTGTCACCTTTGCAGATGCGGCAGGGGCCAGAGAAGTGGTTCAGGTGAGGGAGAGGGTAGGTTAAGGAGAAAGTCCCCTTGTCCCACGAATACTCTCTGATATAGGATTTAACCCCCTGCCCCCCCCCCCCCCCCCCGCCCCACGTAGCTGGCCAGCCGATGCCGAGATGCTGGGATCCACCTTCTCCTGGCTCAGTGTAATGGTGAGATGTGGAGGATGGAGGGATCTGGAGAGTGGGGAGTGACTGGACGCTTGCGGGGAAGGAAGAGGACATGGTGTAGTTGTAGGACCTGAGAGCCTGACCCCTTCTCCACACAGCCTCAGTGCTGGGGACACTGACCCAGGCAGGACTCCTGGATAGAGTGACCCCAGAACAGCTGTTTGTGAGTGTCCAGGATGCAGCTGCATATGCCCTGGAGAGACTGGTGAGGCGGCAGTAGCAACGGGAGTGGAAGCCAGGAGGTGCTGGGCTATGGCAAAGGAGGTGTGAGTCAGTGACTGAAGATCCAGGCAGAGGGATTTGTGAAGGGGGCTGAGGAGGGAGATGAAGGAAAGGGGTGGGGATGAAGTGATTAGTCTATATAAGACTAAACCAGGGAGACTGGGCCCAGCTGTGGGTGAAGAACTGAGGAACTAAGGTTCCAAAGCAGGCGGGGTACCCCTGAGAGGTCTGCCAAATCTTGGGTGAGGGAGGGGGGCACCTAATCTACTTCTGACATGTCCCTTCCCTTTTCCAGGAGCTCACTGGTCCAAAGACTTGCACAGTGTGGGTCTGACCCGGTCATGTGGAGTGTGGAGGGTCCCAAAAGCATGTGTGTGAGGAGGGCCAGGGTCCCTGAGCCCCCTTACTTAATGTAACTAATAAAATGAAGCTGAGAGTCTCTGGGGTTCATGAAGTGAGTCTGGGTGTCTGCACACAGACCCTTGGTGCCCCATTCCTCCATGCACACAGCATTGCAGAGACACAACTGAAAATGGCTTTCACCTGTATGTTCACTGGTCCCCACACCAGCTCCCGTCACCAGTTCTCTCCATGGGGTGGGGCTGCAGTCGCTGCACAGAGTCCTGGATCCAGGGATGCGAGGGAGGCCCCAGCCCTGGGAATATATACTGGGGGCTTTCCCACCCCCTTGGTCCCAAGGAGATGAGAGTGTTTCCGCTTTAGGTTTTTAGAGTCCCCATGGGCTCTTTGGCACTTGGAAAGCAACCCCCCACTTCCTGCCCTATGGGAAGGGGGTGGGAGGAGGACTTGGCACTGGCTGTGGGATGAGTTATGGCTCCATCATGCCCCTGGGCACTCGCAGAAAGGAGGAATGTCACCAGGACAAGCCCCTATTTGGGATCAAGTTCTGAAGGAGATTGGGGACAGTCAGTGGAGTGGTCACTGGCTGGTGGGCTTTGCTAGATATTCCTGGCAGGTGCAAGGAGGTAGGCCCAGCCTGACAGTTGGAAGGCCCCGAGTGGCCGTCACTCTGAGGTCATGCACTGGAGCCGGTGTTTGAAGAAGAGCAGGCGGTGTTTGGCCACCTGACTTTCATCCAGTGATCCCGGGTAACGGTACCGAGCATAAGTCTCTGCCCTAGCATCCCTTGATGTCCAAGGCAACTTCAACTTGGATGCATGATCCACGACAACGTCTGAGCAGGAGCCCACCCGAAGAGAACCAAGTCCATCCAGGAAGAATTCTGGGGGTGGAGGAAAGGCGAGTACACAATGAAGGGTCTTGAGGATACAGAGGCCCCACCGTTAAAGGAGAACTGAGATTTGGGATATGCTGGGTGCATATGCAAAGACCCCATTTCTAAGGACCTTGGGCATGTAAATCAACCCTTTTGAGTCTTAGTTTTACTCTTGTATAAAATGGAGTCAATATCCTTACCTTGTGCTTTGAAAACTGATCCTCCGCCCCACCCCCCGCCCCTCCCTGCCCCGCCCCCAACACGCACACGCAGAGGTTCAATAAATGCCGAATGGGCTGCTCCGAGGTGGTCGGAACCAAGGGATACGGCTGGGAGCGAGATAAAGGTGCAGGTGGCAGTGGTGGGGAAGCTCAAGACGGACCCAGCAGTTGTACTGGCTGTGGAGGTTTAAATGATGCTCGGGGCTGAGAGGGTGGAAGCTCTCTCTCTTGCCCGGGCACAGGTCTTGGTAAATCTTCGTAGAACTGCTCTAGGGGCCCCGGTAGCAGCCGTGGGCTCCGCGGGGGTGGTCGGGGAGTAGTACCCAGGGCCCTTGGCGCCTTACTGCACCGAGCCCAGCCCAGCGCCCCGCGGGATTCCTGCCGGGCCCGGCCAGGAGGGGGCGCCACTCACCCAGGTGCGCCACGCGGCTGAGGCGCGGGTCAAAGCCGACCTCGCGCACCTTGTCAGTGCGCGCCAGGAAGAAGTTGACCACGCCGTCGGTGACCACGCACCCTGGGAAGCCGACGAGCTCGTGGTGGAAGCCGCGCTTCTGCCGGAGGCAGTTCCCGCGGCCTGGCGCGCCGGGCTCCACGCTCAGCAGCTGCCGGTAGGTGGTGGCGAAGCCGGAGATCTCGCGCACCGCGCCCCCCACCTGCCGGGGCGGGAGGACGGCTGCAGGCGGGGCGCGGACCGGAAGGGGATCCTCTCCCCCCCAGGGCGGCTCTCCTGCCCTGTCCTTTCCCGCTTCTCCCCTGCAGGACCCAGATAGTGCCCCAGGCTCCGCTTCGTCGTCCCCTCCCGTCCCAGGGCTGGCTGCCCTCAATCGGGTCTACCGGCCGGCCGCGGCCTTAGTCTGCCGAAGGCTCTCCTCCCACCCTACATCTCAAGGCCCCTCCCCTACCAGGTCCAGCGGCGTCCGCTCCAGCACGTCCACAAGCCTCTCCAGTCGTGTCCGCGCCGTGAAGACGAAGTCGTCGTCCACCCACAGCACGTACTTGGTGGTTACTTGGGATACGGCCAGGTTCCGGCCTGCGAACCAGCCCTGGGGAAGGGTAAGTACGGTTGGCGATGCTGTCGAGATAGAACGTAGCCCCCTGCCACCTTTCCTCCTCACTCCTGACCCCTCTCAACAGCCTATGCCCCTCTCCAAACTTTCGAGTGCTTACGAATGGCCGGGAGCTAGGTAAAAAATGCATTTCCCACTTGTGCGAGGCGCTGAGTCAGTGTTCTGGGGGAAGGTATTGGAATGCATTTAATTCATGCGTTCATTCATTCATCAACTATCTACTGAGCCCCCCACTAGGTGCTAAGCACCATTCTCAGAACACAGCGCTAGTAAGACACACGATTCCTGCTCCCGTGGAGTTTACATTCCAGAAATCCTCATGCTTAACAGGCGCCTCAGTGATTCTGAGGCAGGAGACTGCAGACTGAGGGTGCGCCCCCTCCCGGTGCCCTGTGGCGCACAGTTCAGCCTCGCTGGCTGCTCACCTTGCCAAAAGGCATGAGATAGTGCTCGATGTGGGGACCTCTAATGCTCTCTGGCTTGTCGCTGTCGTCGGCGATTACCACTGTGACTGTCGGGTAGAAGCGGCGGATGCTGGCGATGAGTGCCCGTAGCCGATTGTAACGAAGGAAGGTCTTAGTGGCAATGGTGACCAGAGCGCTGATGTTGTACTGGGCTGGGAGTGAGGGGCAGGGTTAGGTGCAGAGGAGAGTAGGGAGTGAAGAGCAGGAAGACATCTCCCAGGGGTGTCTCCCAACTTGTCGCCCTCTCCCAACTTGCTCCCCATCAGGGCTGGATCTATGTCCCTGAGCATACCAGTCTCACCTCCCAGGGGTAGAGACCCAGGTGGGTACAGCTGAGGGCTGGGTGGGTGTCTTATGCGTATGGTGAAGGCAACTTTGTGTCCCTCGGTGGAGAACCGGACTGGGAAGAAAGGACATGAGATGTGGCCCCTAGGGCTTGGACAACATTGTCTTTTCAGTAAAACAATATTTAAGCGCCTACTCTGTGTAGCACTTTTCTAGGCCCTGTTAGACAAGAATGCAAGGTTCTTATCCCCATGGAACTTACATTTTAATGGGTGGGAGAAAGATGATAAAAGAGTTCATTAAAAAGCTAACCTTTATTGAGCATTTACTATGTGCCAGGCACTTTTAAAGTTACCTTAAATATATGAACTCATTTAATCCTCACAGTAGCCCTATTAAGTAGATTCCTACTACAGAAAAAGAAGGCACAGAGAAGTTAACATGTCCATAATTACCCAACTGTTAAGCAACAAAGCTGGGATAGGAACCTAGTCAGTCTGGTTCCAGGCTAAGTAAGTAAGAAAATTCAGATACAGATAAGTATTGAATAGAAAATAAGACAAGTAATGTGATAGTGAAGAGGAGCCATTTGAGCTGAGATCCAAATGATAGGAAGGAGCCAGCTATGCAAAAATCTGCGGGAAGAGCATTCTAGGCAGAGGGAACAGCAAGTGCAAAGGCTCCAAAGTGGGAGTAGGTTTGGTACAGAAGCCTTGGAGAGAAGCAGGAGGACTGTGTTATGCCCCTTTTGCTAGAGGAGAAATGGGGGCTCTGGGAGATAAAGCCCTTTGCCCTCTAGTAAGTGGTGGGCTGGGAATAGAGCTTGAGTCTTCTGGCTCCTGGGGCAGGTCACTTCCTGGGGCCCCCATGGTTGGCCTGAAGGGGGGACACACCCAAGGCTCGGGTTTCCCTCTGGCCTGCTCCAGCCCCAGATGAACAAAGGCCCCTTCTCTCCCTCCCTGGCCCTGCTGGCCCAGCTGAAATGCCCATTGTGTGGCTGGGCAGCGCTGGCCATGGCCCGAGTGTCTCCCACACCCTCTGCCACTTGCTCGCTCCTGCCTTTCTGGGCTCCCTGTGTTCACCCAGCCTGTTACTACCTCCACCTGGGCCTCGCACCTATGTCTGCTGTGTTTGCCTGGTAGCTTCGGCTGCTATAAGTCACCAGTTGCAGCTGCCGATTGAGTTGGTCCAGCCCTGGGCTGGCGAGGGTGAGATCTGGCTGCCCCTCTCCAGTGAGAGTCACTCCAGTCACTTCCCCTGCCACGTCCCAGGTGCCCAAGGAGGCAGTCAGGTTCACCTGGGAGAGGGGATTGGAGAGTGCAGGGTGAGGCCCCAGACCCACCTCTTGCCTCCCTGGTTCCTCCATCCCTCCTTTGGCAGCTTTGTTGCCCTCCCGGCATCCTTAATGCCCACCTGGCCTCCTCGCCCTCCTGTTTCTTCTCACCTGGTATACCTCCTGACCAGAAGTGGCCTGCAGGCTCAGTCCTGGGAGGAAGGAGAGGGGATCAAAATCACAGACAATCTGGAATTCCTCATTTTCTCTTCCCTCTTTCACCACACCCAGCACAGAATTTCTCATGCATCCCTCTTGTTGAGGCCACAGCAGGGCACACTGCGGGGCATAGCCTAGAGTAACTTATTTTTTACTCCTTCCCATCAAAGCAGTAGCTCTTCTGTGGCCTGCCCTACCTGTCCACCTAACTTTGGCCAGTCAGCAAGAATAGACCCTTCTCCCCGAACCTCTCCAGTCACTGTCTTCTACAATTCCTGACAATCTTGGAGTCCCTTCTGTCCCCATCTCCCACCTCATGAGCCCTCCCTGACCTCAAGTCTCCTACCTCCCATTCCAATCTTCCCTCATTCTTCCTCACCCAACCTGGGCTCTGCCACCCCCCACCGTGGCTTAGGTCATCCCCTAGGACCGTTCTCCCCACCTGGCACCAAGATGCTCCTGAGGGGCTGGACCTCCACACCCTGCAGGGGGTACTGTAGTGGGGAGTTGGCAGGGGCTATGAGCAGCTGGTCAGCAGCAGACTGGCTCCTGGCAGTGAAGGAGGGGGAGGACAGAGGAGCAGTCAGGGGGAGACGGGCTCTCCCTCCTGCCACACCTACCCTCCAGGCTTCCCCCTGCTCTTCCCCTACAAGAGTCATGCCCTCCTTTCCCACTGGTACCGGTACCTTGAAAGGAAGGCCTGGAACTCCTGCTCCCTCAAGGCAGATGCAGCCCTCAGCTCCTCAGGGTCAAAGGCCTTGGTGAAGTCAATGGCTTGGACCCGCCTCTGGAAGGGGAGGTGAAGGCTCCCCCCACTGGATTCACAACTGCAGTTGTTCGTGGGCAGCAGCCTGGAGCCGGGAGGGAGGGTCCTCAGAGCCCAGCCGCGCAGCTCACTCATCCCACAGAACATTTACACAGGACCTACATCTTGGCCTTTCAACCCTGTCCATCCAAAATCTGTCCCCTTAAACACTGCTCTTCAAATAGTCCCCAGGAGGAGGAACCACCAAAGGAATGACGCAACCCCTAAATCTGGATTTTACAGAGGTGTAGAATAGGGCCAATTGCTAGGCGTTCAGAGTTGCCTACACGCCATTAGGACCCCACCTGGACTCTCCTTTCATAGGGAATCACCAGGACTCAGAAGGTCAGGGCCCTCCCCTGACGGCACACCCTCCCTTCCCCATACCGTGACAAGGTTCTTGGAGGACAGATTTGTCCCCCCGCAAGCACAAGACTCAGCGGCCCCCTCCACCTCCCACTTCACCCCTCTGCAACCAGTCGTGGGGAGCCCAGGCATCAGAGCTCAGCAGTGGAGGAAACAAGAGCTTCCCACGCCACCCCCCAGCGAGTGCCGTGCCGGTACCACGACTCCTTGCACTCACCCCACCACTTGCTCCTTGATCCTGACTGGGATGTGTGCGTACCGGGGCTCGGGGGCAAGACCTGGCAATTCTGGCCTGGGGTTGCCCTGCAGGGGCGTCCACAGCGCAAGAGGTGCCTGGAGGCCCGGCGCGACCCGGGTGCTCGCGTACAGGAGCCCCAGCGAGGCGCAGGCGAGCAGCAGGACCAGCACACAGAGGGCCCGGCGGCCCAGCCGCATCCTGGGTGGGCGGTAGGGATGGGAGAGTGAGAAAGGTGGGGAGCGAAGGCGTGGGTTGGGGCCCCCGCGCTTCCGGAGGCTCCTGCCGGCCACCTGGGGCTTTCCACATCTCGCGCGCCAGGATTTGCATAGCGAATCGGTACCCCTGTCCCCTCCCCTCACTTCCCGGGCCTCGGGTCTCCCGGCCTCCTTTCTTCTCTCCCTCTCCCGCATCTTGCTTTCCTCTCACGCCTGAGGCCGGGCATCTTGAAGCAAGAGAACGTTGGAGGTAGTGGTTTCGATGCGGAGGCTCATAAGTAGAAGAGTACCATTTTATCAGAATAGCGGGTGTTCCCGAGCCCGCCACCTCCCCTGGCCCGCGCATCCCCCAACCCCTCAGTCCGAGCATCACCTGGCCCCGGCTGGGCTGCAGAGGGCAGCGCCACACCTTGCCTGTCATGAAAAATGCAGAATCACGCCCGCGCTACTGGGTGGCCCCGGCGGAGGTGACCCCGTGAGTGGCCTCGGGAAGCTGTGCGGGGGGACAAGGTGGACCGGCGTGCGCGCCTCTTCCCGCCTCAGTCTCGGCCCCTCATCCCGCCCGGACACTGACCTGTCTAACGCTCTGAGGCCGCCGCAAGATTTCGGTCCGGGCTGCGCCAGGCTCTCACCTCCAGCCTGGGGGTCCTCATGGGGCTGGAGGCGGCCTGATGGGGGAGTCGGGTGTGAGGCTGAGAGTGAGGGGGATCCTCCTGCCTCCCGAGCGCGCCCGACCCCTCCCGCCTTCGGACTCTCCGGGCTTTGTAGACCAAGGCGCTGGGGTGGCTCTGGGCGTTTCCTGCGGGGGTGGGGATCGGAGTCCAGAAACCTCCGCACCCCAGTCCCAGAAACAAATCCGGGCTTCCCCGGTACCCTGTTCCACTTGCCGGGCCGGGAGAGGTCGGGCCGCCGCCCGGCTCTTCAGTTCGCGGTGCCGCGCGGCTCAGCTCCCGGGCTGGTAGCGGCGGAGGATCCGGCTACGCGCGGGGATGGAGAGCGCTGGGGCGCCTTCTGGTGGACGCCGAGGACATTGCGGGGGCGCGAAGCCCGCGCCGAGCGCAGGTCCTTCTCTCCACCCCCCCTCCCCCTCCAGCCCTTCGCCTCCGAACCCTGGCATCTCCCCCGCCTGCCCCCGATCCCAGTCACTCTATTCCCTATGCGTTCGGAGCCGCCCTCTCGTCTAGACTGTAGGCAAGGACAGGCGACAAGGGCTTCGGGAAGAGTTGGGGCGGAGACGCCCAGTAACCCCGTTTCAAGGAAGATTTGGGTACTTAGGGTGAGATAAAGGAAGACAGACAAGACTCTGGAAAATAAAAAAATGCCTGGCTAAGAAAAATAGGTTCACAGCCTCCCTCCCATGCTCGCCTCCCCCGTCCCCCAACCCCCAACCCCAGTTATCTAACGAACACTCAGTGATGTACCAAACACTCGGCAATTCAAGGGCCTGCTTCTCCTGACTGCTCCTTGTTGCAGGTTTGCGGGAGGAAAGAAACCCCAAACAGTGGCTAGATTGGTTGTAGTTCTGCGTGCAAGCCGCAGACCTGTAGACTCCCTTCTTTGTAGCTGGATTCTTGACGCTGCCCTAAGTTCCGTGGTTCCACGGTTCTAATAAAAGATGTCACGATTTAACAGGGAAAAAAGATATAATAAGAAATGTAAAATAATGAAAATGTGGGGACGGGGAGAGGGAAGGATGGATTGTTGGATGAATTGTGTACAAAGAAATGACGAATCAGCCGGGGAGAAAGTGCGATTCTCACCCTCCTTACACCGAAATAAATTCCAGATCTATCAAATATTTTAGTATTAAACGTGAAATCACAAAGAACAGTAAAATAATTCATGGCGTTTGTTTTGTTTTTTATGGCCTTGGAGTGGGGAAGAGATATATAAAAATATAAAAAATATTTAATATCAAGATATATAAAAAACTCGAGTGAAAACATTTCTATAAACAAACTTGAGAGAGAAATGACAAACTGTGAAAAAGTATTTGCAGCATGTAAGACAGATGAAGGTCTGCTTTTCTTAAGAGCTCTAAAACATCAGTAAGAAAAAATGGGGACTTCCCTGGCGGTCCAGTGGTTGAGACTTCACCTTCCAGTGCAGGGATGCAGGTTCAATCCCTGGTCAGGGAGCTAAGATCCCACATGCCTTGGGCCAAAAAACCAGAACATAAAACAGAAGCAGTATTGTAACACATTCAATCAAGACTTTAAAAATGGTCCACATCAAAAAAAAAAAAGAAAAGAAATCTTAAAAAAAAAAAAGAAAAGAAAAAATTATCAATTACCACCAAATGAACAAAAATTGTGATTAGGCAGTTGACAGAAAAAGTGAAAATGGCTTTTAAAATATATGAAATTATACTTGACCTTATTCATAATAAATAAAATGCAAATTAGAATAACAATGAAATGGTTTTTGATTACCAAGTTAGGAAAGGTCAAAGAGCTTGCTAGCACATTGAGTGGTCAAGTATTTGGAGAAACAGTCACTACCATACATTGCTGTGAGTGTAAACTGACACAACTTAGAGCAATTGGCCAATCTATTAACACTTAAAATATTAATCATTTAAATTTTAAATATTAGTAAGTTAACATTTTAAAGATATGGTTCAGGCAGACAATGGAACACTGGGTTAATCTATATCTATTGATACTGGATGATATCCAAAGCTGTTAAGCAAAATAAACAAGGTACAGAACAGCATATATAGTTGGCTCCTGAGTGTGGGTTTTAGCTTCTGGGTTTGTCCAAAATCTGGAAATGAAGTGCTGCCATAATAAAAACCTAAAAATGTGGGAAAAACTTTGGAACTGGGTCTTGGGTAGCAGCCGGAAGGAATTTGAGGAGTGTTAGTGAAAGACCTAAGAATGTTGAAGAGCATGTTAGTAAAAGCCTCATGTCCTTTAAGGAGGCTGCTGATAAAGAGAAGTGAGGAAAGTAGGGAAATTGAAGGAAAGGGGGTCCTTGTTATTGAGATACATTTAGCAACATTGTCACCAGCAGTGGGGTGGAAAGTAGACACTATACTAATGAATTGCAGATCTCATTGAGGAGATTTCCAAGCAGAATGTTGAAGGTGCCATCTGGTTTCTTCTTGTTGCTTTTTTTTTTTTTTTTAAATAAATTTATTTATTTATTTTTGGCTGCATTGGGTCTTCGTTGCTGCGCGCAGGCTTTTCTCTAGTTGCGTGAAGTGGGGGCTGCTCTTCGTTTCGGTGTGCGGGCTTCTCATTGTGGTGGCTTCTCTTGTTGCAGAGCACAGGCTCTAGGCGCATGGGCTTTAGTAGTTATGGCATACAGCCTCAGTAGTTGTGGCGCACGGGCTTAGTTGCCCCGCGGCAAGTGGAATCTTCCCGAACCAGGGCTTGAACCCATGCCCCCTGCATTATCAAGCGGATTCTTAACCATTGCACCACCAGGAAAGTTCTTTTTTTTTTTTTAATATTTATCTTTATTTATGCTCTGGGTCTTCTTAGTTGCAGCATGTGGCTTGTAGTTGCGGCATGTGGACTCTTAGTTGCGACATGCATGCCGGATCTAGTTCCCCGACCAGGGATCTAACCCAGGCCCCCTGCATTGGGAGTGTGGAGTCTTACCCACTGGAGCACGAGAGAAGTCCCTCTTTTTGTTGCTTATAGTAAAATATGAAAAGAAAGAGATAAGCTAAAGGAAGGAATGCTAACAAAAAGGATCTGGGGATTGTTGGGTTTGAAAATTCCTAGCCTCTCCAAGGACAAATGAAGCTAATATTTAAAAAATGGCTTGCAGGCAAAGATCATATCTAAGGAATGCTCAAGAAAACATGGTCTGAAAATGAAGCCAAGGAGGTGAACATAAATTCTTTGTTAAGAAAGAGTTAAGGCAGTGCCTCAGAGAATAGTTCAGTTTAACAATAGGACTCTCAGTGATCAAAGGAGAAGCTCAAGGAAGAGAAAGCCTTATCTATAGTATTTGTGAATATGGCTTTCATTTGATGTAGTTAATCTCAATAAGATTCACAGGAGGGCTTCCCTGGTGGCGCAGTGGTTAAGAATCCGCCTGCCAATGCAGAGAACACGGGTTCGAGCCCTGGTCCGGGAAGATCCCACATGCCGTGGAGCAACTGAGCCTGTGCGCCACAACTACTGAGCCAGCACGCCACAACTATTGAAGCCCGCGAACCTAGAGAAGCCGCTGCAATGAGAAGCCCGCGTGCAGCAGCAAAGACCCAACGCAGCCAAAAATAAATATAAATAAAATAAATAAATTTATTTTAAAAAAAAAGATTCACAGAAGACCTATAAAGATTTTAAGAGAGCTGTATCTGCAGAATTTTATTGGTGATAGAATGATTCTCTCTTATCATTCTGATAGATAAATGTTTGCTGTTTTAAGTCCCCCAAGTTTGGAGTAATGTATTACATAACAATAGATAACGAATACTGAATATTATACAATTGACCTTGAACAATGAGAGGGTTACGGGCACCAACCCTCAAGTCGAAAATCTATATAGGGACTTCCCTGGTGGTCCAGTGGTTAAGACTCCACATTTCCACTGCAGGGGGCACAGTTTAGATCCCTGTTTGGGGAACTGGTCGGAGAACTAAGATCCTGCGTGCCGTGAAGTGCAGCCAAAACAAGAAAAGAAAATCCGTAGTCAGCTCTCCATATCTGGGGTTCTGCATTCACGGATTCAACCAGCCATGGATCGTGTAGTACTGTACTATGTATTTAGTGGAAAAAAAAAAATCCTCATATAAGCGGACCCGCACAGTTCAAACGTGTGTTGCTCAAGGGTCAGCTGTATAGACTGAGAAGAAATGGTCTGCAACTATACACGACAACTCATAATGCTGAAAGAAAAAAGCCAAACACAGAAGATTACATTCTGTGTGATTCTTTTTATTAAAGTAGAATACAGGCAAAACTTATCTGTGATGTTTGTAGTCGGGATCTTGATTATCTTTGAGGGGTGGAGTAGTAACTAGAAGGGGTCAGAAGGAATCTGGGTGCCAGTAAAGTTGTGTTTCTGCATTGGAGTGCTGATCACACAAGTGTGCTTAATTTGTAAAAATACACAGAGTTGTATACTTGTAATCTGTATACTTTCCTGTATGTATATTGTACATGGATACACAGTTTAAGAATATGTGAGACTTTCAAATGCCTGCTTCACTGGGTCTCATCCCCTCCAACTTTCTCAAAGACTGTTTCTGCCATTACCCGCCCCATACATTGTCAGTCTGTCCTCCACTGGCATGCAAACATGCTGTCTTTTCTTCCTTCTTAATAGACCCCTCCCTTGACCCCTGCATCACCTTCCAGCTACCTCCCCATTTCTCTGCTCCTCTTTATGGGAAAACTTCTCCAAAGAGTAGTCAACATGTCCCTTCCTCCCCTGGATCCACATCAATCCAGAATCTACCCCATATTTCCACTGAGTCTGCTGTTATAAGATCCTCCATGGCCTCCTTTCTGCTAATCCAGTGATGACTTCCCTGTCTTCATCTTACTGAGCAACTCAGCAACATTTGACACCACTGGCCATTCCTCCTTGAAATCCTCTTTTCTCTTGGCTTCTGAGACATCATGCTCTCCTTGATCCTCACTGGCTGCTATCCTATCTTCTTCACTGAATCC